GCTTGAGACCTTTAATGACTGAGCTTTAACTCTTTAATGAGCACAAAATGCCATGTGTATACAATGGTCTTAGCTGTACCTGTAATAAAAAGGTTAATGTAAAGTCAGCAGGTTTTAATAAACATCTTAATGCAGTATCAATACTATAGATTATATCATTAATGATGCAGAATATATTGTAGCCATAAAATAACTGAGACTGGGTGGCGCAGGTCTGAATCCTTCACCTTGCACCTGGTGCAGTGAATCTTCCCTGCTCGCGTTCCCTCTGTTTTCTTGACACTCTTCAGTGTACCCTTTCACATCTTTTCAAGCAGACACTTCTGCTTCTTCAGCTGTTTTCAGCAGATAATTTCTGCTACACGGCAGTCACGCTGCATTTTCGCAAGAAATGCAACTTTTTATAGTTTTACTTGAAACGTAAAAGAACATTTGATTATTATTTTTCATTATATTATCTTCCTGGTTATGAAATTAAATAATAAACACAAATTAAATAATTCTGAATTGTATTTTATTTATTTTAATTGACCATCAGTTGTTGAGTATATTCAGACACTGGTACATTATTATAATGCATGTGGAAATTTTCGTTATCTGGACCTCCTTAAATTTTAATTGAATGCCGCTGACCTAAAGGGGCATTCATTCAGTCTAACTCTTCCTTGTTGGATCTAATGAATGAATAAACACTTTTCAAGGAAACAGATTCTTTAGTGTTCCTTTCTTTGCTTTTCAACCATGATCTATGTGCCTTCTTCAAGATGGATTTGAAGAAGGAGACAGCTCTTTCACTGTTTTAGTTTTTGCATGCTCTAATACATATGAACACATCAAATTCAACATGTACTAGCATCTTGTGATAATCCCTAGTCATAGGAGTGGAGTACACCTTTCACCTTTCATTTTAGGGTTAAGAATAGAGCATCTCGAATAGTGCCCTGCTTGATGAGGACGTATAAAAACCTGAAGTTTTCATGAGACAGCTGGGGAGTTGGCCTTTTGATAATCATTTGTTAGTAACTGGGCCCATTTGGCAAATGTGACAGCAAGTCAGTCTCTTGAGGATGTGCTGTCGGATCTCATTGGTCCTGATGCCGTAGACAACTGGGTTGAAACAGCTTGGAAAAAGCAGGTACATGGTGCTGAAGAAAACTCGACTGGCTGCAGGGAGGCCGTTTCTGATCCGATATGACAGGAAAGCAGTCAGAGCCAGAATGAGGCTGACTGTGATGACCATGATGTGAGTGATGCAGGTGTGAAGTGCTTTTACACCTGACCTGCTGGACTTCAGCACAGAGCTGAATATCACCACATAGGAGGCAGTGATGAAGACAAAGTCAAGAACAGGAATGAGAAACACGGCCATCAAACCCACGAGGTTATTGATGGTGGTGCTTCCACAGGCCAGCTCCACCAAGGCCATGTGCTCACAGAAACAGTGGTTTATCACATTTCTCAAACAGAATGGCAATTTTCCAGCCAGACATACAAGGAGTGTGATCATGAGAACATTTCTGACAACAAGTGGTATTAAAAATGCAATGAATCTCGATAAGATCATGTGATTGTGGTAGTAAAGGGGTGTGCAGATGGCAAAGTAGCGATCCAGAGCCATCCATACCAGCAGAGTGGACTGAAAAGTTCCAAAAAAGTGGATTAAGTGCATCTGAACAAGGCAGCCGATGAGAGAGATCCCCCTCCAGTCAAACAGGAAGCTCAGCAGCATGTGGGGAACAAAGAATACAGGGAGGCTGAGGTCAATGCACGCCATGCTGGCAATGAGGATGTACATCGGCGAGTGGAGGCTTCTCTGTGAAACGATCACGTACACCAGCAGGGAGTTAGCAAACAGTGACACAACAAACATGAAGGAGAACGGGATGAAGAGGAACGGCCTCAGCTCTCCGAGTTCACTAAAGCCATCCAGGGTAAAATGTGTGTGCAAAGAGACGTTCTCCATGCTCCCTCTTTCCTAAAAGGTTTTCCGTTCAACCAGCCTGAAAAGAAAGAGAAAGAAACCTTTAACCTCCACCGGTTACTTAAACCTCCATTTGGTGATATACAAATAAAACTGAACTGAGTGTATTTAGACAACATTAAAGAGCAAACAGCATCACTGAGATATTAAATGATGTCAGTGATGATCTATTAATACTCCACACTACAACACACATCCTGTATGAAACTCTTCAAGTTGTTAAGATGAATCATTAGTTATGTTGTGTTGCTCCATGTGCTAAGTGATGTCCAGGTCCAGTTGTCTGCTCTGTAACATACATTGTGTAAGACATGGTAGCAGTGAATCATTTCCTCTTGCTGAGCTTTGTCCACTGACAGGGAAAACAGAAATATTCGAGGGGAAGCACGGAGGCCTACTTCACAATGGCTAGGTTTTACTTGAAAACAACCTGAAAACAGCAGCATTCAAAACATTTTTAAGCAAATTCTTAACATGAAATATTGTCAGCACCATAGTGAAAAGAGAGCTGAGCTCGAAGAGAGACAAACCTTAAGCAGACATGAACTCAGCCAGTGCAGTGAGATAACTTCTTGTCTGCTTAACAGCAAATACCTGCCAGAGAAGAAATATAAGAAATGAATGGCATGAAACATTTCTATAACGAGACGTGAGAGGGCTGGACCAGGTGACCCTGAATCCTCCCTTAGTTATGCTGCAATAGACGTAGGCTGCCGGGGATTCCCATGATGCATTGAGTTTTTCCTTTCCAGTCACCTTTCTCACTCACTATGTGTTAACAGACCTCTCTGCATTGAATCATACCTGTTATTAACCTCTGTCTCTCTTCCACAGCATGTCTGTATCCTGGCTTCCTTCTCTCACCCCAACCAATCACAGCAGATGGCCCCGCCCCTCCCTGAGCCTGGTTCTGCTGGAGGTTTCTTCCTGTTAAAAGGGAGTTTTTCCTTCCCACTGTCGCCAAAGTGCTGCTCATAGGGGGTGTGGCTTTGTAGGCTCCAGCCAGGTTGGAATACACATGGTCTAAAGTCTTGTCTCCTCTGGTGTGGCAGGAGACATGTTGGTGGAATCTGGGGAGGACTGTCTTTAAGTTGGTGTGGCCAGCACCCCTATGGGGCTGTTTGAAGCAAATCATATGCCCTTTGGACTACAGAATGCTCCCTCCTCCTTTCAGAGACTCATGACCTGCTGCTTTGGTGATATGAACTTCACCCACCTTCTAATCTATCTTGATGACCTCATCATATTCTCCAAAACCTTTGATGAGTATCTGGAAAGACTGCAGCTGGTGTTCGATCGGCTTCGGGAACATGGCGTGAAGTTAAAGCCTTCTAAGTGCCAGCCTGTGAGAAAGGAGGTTCAGTATTTGGGTCACTTCGTGTCTGCTGAGGGGATCTGGACAGACCCAGAGAATATCAGCAGGGTGAAAAATGGCAGTGGTTTGCATCATATCTATCTAATAGACTCCGATTTGTTCATGTAAATGGAGAGTCCTCTTGTCATGTTTGGTGCTGTGGCAGGCATGATGTAGGACCCAAATGCAGGCTCATAAACAGAAAAGTAAACTCAAAGAGCTTTAGTGCTGCACATGCAAGAGCCAAATATAAAAGTGCTAACCCAAACTAGAAACATGGAACTAAAATTAGGAAACTCGGAAAATTACAACGGACAGAGGAAAACACAGGGCTTATATACACACCTCTACCACTCAGTAGTGAGGGAATAGGAAGCAGGAGAGAAACACAGCTAGGACTAATCTGATGTAACAAAGTGAGGAGGAAGCAAAACTGAAAACCCAGGACACAAGACCTTCAAAGTAAAACAGGAAATACAAGATAGGCACAGAGAAACCAACTAAACAAGGAGACACAGCACACAGGGAAGACAGAGTGAACATGAATCACAGAGACAAGAGTACCAAATGAGACATGGAGACATGTCTAACTGGGGAAACGCAGCAGCTCAAATGGAGACTCATACACCAGCATTTCACCCACATTTGCAACTAAAACAGACCTGCAATACAAACTTATTCGGGAGCAGTGTGTGAATAGAAAGTCTGACAATATTGAGCCCACACCCCCCAGTTTTTAACAAAAAGACTGATTACACAACAACAGCAGTGATGGTGACACTGGCACAGTTTAACGTTGAGGCGGAGTCTGTTTATGCACCATGACGAGTAAAGAGGCGGAGCTGTTACTGGTTGAGTGAAAGAAAACAGTCACAGTCCCTGTGATCACCATTCAAATCTTTACTGGGTAAAAGCTTGTGTGAGTCCATCAACAAAGCCCCTGATCAACAAACTCTGACATGAAGAAAAGCGAACTCTGTAGCTGCTCCATCCACTGCTGTTCATTTTACAAATAATCTGCAGCAAAGCTCCAGAAGTTGTATTATAGGGAGCCCCGCAGGGGACATGGGAGAAAAAAAAATTAAGACGGACTTTTGCGAGATCTCGCAAAAGTTTTAGCCGCATTCTTCGGAGGCCACCAGCTCGAAGTCGACCGGGAGGTCAAGGCACGATGTGCCGCGAGAGCGGTGTTCCTCCTGGCTGTAGTAGGTCTCGACCTCCCGTTAGCTTCGAGCTAGTGGGTGTCAGATCTCCAAAAACGTCAGAGCACTTTTGCAAATATGTGATGTCTTGTAAACCGAGCAGGTATCTGACGTTTACACAACTACATTCACCCCTCAAAATATCTTAAAAGTGTATTTTGTGACCCAGAAAGAGTAATATCACAACTAAGTAGCTGCCGCCATTGTTGGAATTCAACTTTTGCGAGATCCCGAGTTAGTTTTGCGAGATCTCACAAAAGTTTTGCGAGATCCCGAGTTTGTTTTGCGAGATCTCACAAAAGTTTTGCGAGATCCCGAGTTTGTTTTGCGAGATCCCGAGTTTGTTTTGCGAGATCCCGTTGCGAGACCGAGTTTGTTTTGCGAGATCCCGAGTATAGTTTTGCGAGATCTCCAAAGTTGGAGATCGTTAGTTTTGCGAGATCTCGAAAAGTTTTGCGAGATCCCGAGTTTGTTTTGCGAGATCCGAGTTTGTTTTGCGAGATCCGAGTTTGTTTTGCGAGATCTCGGAAAAGTTTTGCGAGATCCCTCGAGTTTTGCGAGATCCTGAGTTTGTTCTGCGAGATCCGAGTTTGTTGCGAGATCTGAGTTTAGTTTTGCGAGATCCTCGAGTTTTTTTTGCGAGATCTCGGAAAAGTTTTGCGAGATCCTGAGTTTGTTTTGCGAGATCCCTGAGTTTGTTTTGCGAGATCTCGGAAAAGTTTTGCGAGATCCCTTAGTTTGTTTTGCGAGATCCTGAGTTTGTTCTGCGAGATCTCCTTTTGCGGTAGATTATTTGCGAGATCTCGGAAAAGTTTTGCGAGATCCCGAGTTTGTTTTGCGAGATCTCAGGCAGACCCATGTTTTGCGAGATCCGAGTTTGTTTGATCGTGTTGCAGATGAATTTCGATCCGTTGTTTGAGAAGTTTTGAGATCCGTTTGTTTTGCGAGATCCCGAGTTTGTTTTGCGAGATCTCGGAAAAGTTTTGCGAGATCCTGAGTTTGTTTTGCGAGATCCCGAGTTTGTTTTGCGAGATCTCGGAAAACAAACTCGGGATCTCGCAAAAGTCCGTCTTAATTTTTTTTTCTCCCAAGTCCCCTGCGGGGCTCCGTAGTATTAAAATACATGAATGAATTGATAACTTAGTCCGATGCATGTTTAAATTACACAGCCTAATGAAGCCTGAAGGACGCTGTCCAATTTTACATGGAAGCCATCAAGGGGGAGCCTAAAGGGGGGCATGCGGTGTACTAGACCATATTTCTTTCAAGGTTTTCATAACATTTTTTTTTAGATTGAAGGTGAAATTCTATTAAATAGTATCTAAATTAAATTGTGGTAATATTTAAAAATATAAAAATTAAAGCTTTTTTCAAAATCTAATAAAGCCATTAAAAATGTACACGGGCCAGTAAAACTCTGAGTCACTGACCTGAGGGATTTTAGGTTGGAAACAGAATTATTGTTAATGTTAATGAAGGTATACATCATCATAACATTTGTTTTCAGCATCAAAGCACAGGGCAAACTTCACAATGCTGACACACTCGCTTTTCTTCATTGCAGCCATCACATTCTCCTTTAAAGGACACGAACAGACTCAAACTCATTTATTCAGGCACACATTTAAACAAGCATGCACACATGTAAGAACACAGAGTAAAGATTCATTTGTTATGCCTTAGTCTAGGCTGCACATTTATCTTATCTTATTTGACCCTACTTGAAAGTATTTATATATTTTTGCATTTAAGAAAATCTTTTATTTAAAAAATTGAATCTAATAATGACATGTGAATCCAAATGGTTTGTTTTGTTTCTTTTTGACAAATGAGCAGTTAATTTTGAAAGACCTGTATTTTTTTTTAAATCAATCAATTACTAAAATAATCGATAACTGCAGTCCTACTATGAACCACTAAAAATATTTTTAAGAAAGCACAGTAAAATGTAGGACGACGACCATGCAACATTCAGCATTTATTTGTTTGTTTGTCTGCCAATAATAAGACATGAATATTAATCAGTGTGACCTTTCATAATGAGGTCACACTGCTGTGGGCGTCTTCTAAACGTTTTAAAGAAGCCTAAGCAGAGTTTCAGCGGCTCCAGCAGGCTGAAGCTGACTCAGACTCACTGAACGTTTCAGGCTTCGAGTTGTAAGTTGTGACTGGTTGTTGTTTCAAATTGGGCTTCAAATTTTAGTTCTACGTCATGCAAAACCAACACAAGTTTGAAAGAACTGCCTCACAGCTTCCAGTCAAGTCAACACCAAAATGCAAAGAACTGTTTTTTCGTGTGAACAATAGTAACTGAATGAAAACAAGGCTCATGAAAAATTCCACACACCTTCCAGATTTCATACTTGGTGCCTACTTTGACGGTGGGACTTTCAGGTACTTATATTTCATTATTGTCATGTCTCTGT